AAAAAAAGGGGGGGGGAGGGTGTCTATGTCCTGGTGATTTTTCCAGACCCACTTTCTCTGCATCCTAACAGTCATTAAAATATATAAAAATGAATACTTTTGAAGCAGCAATATAAGAATTATCATTGCTGTGGTTGCCTGGCAACCTGAGACTTTAGTTATTTTATTTCTAAACAGGGAATGCTATAAACCAGTACCCGGAGTTTGTGCAAATAGTTCTAAATTGATGTTCTCCCTCTAAATCAGGAGGAGATAATACAGCATTAATGTACATTTAAAGGTTGCTAAATACGCGTGTCTGTCTCTCTCTCACACACACTCACATGCGCACGCGCATGCGTTCACAGGAAGATTCTTACAGTTTCTTACTGTGCTATATTCAGTAAATCTGGAGAATTGTTATTCTTTTACATTTTTCCTGGAAAATATCCATTTAATTTTATACTAAGTATAAATAATATACGTTTGAACAAACCTTTCATCTCCCGTGTGAACCGGGGAAATAATAGTACAGGTAATATCGATCCATAGCGCCCTTCCCGAGTTTCATGGACACCGAGTGGGTCTCCGGTTTTGGGAGAGCAGAGACTATCTAAGTGGCTACTAGGAGAAAATATTTCTCAAGACCAGGAAGCAAGTCCGGGAAAGGCCTTCTGAATTTAGGCCTGTGGCCCTTGGTGCCACCCACATATTCCACACCACACCCCATCACAGATGAGAAGTGTGGACATTCTAGAAAAGCTGCCTCTGTTAATGAAATGTCATTTCTCCACAAGTCACGGACTTGATTTTGAGCTTCCAGGGCTGCTCGCTGGCTTGAACGGGCCGCTCTGATGTTGGCCCGTTCCTAATATGGCCTTGGTTCCCAACCTCATGAGGGCCTGAGGAGGAGACGTGCTCCCATCCCAGACTCTGATGGTGGGCTCCTCATTGCTTCCATGGAGTAGAGGCCTCTCGCCGTGGCCTCCATGGTGGTGTTATCGTGAGCTCCAGCCTGCAAGCCAACAGCCTGCCTCAGGCCCCCTGCTGCCACCATCAGATTCTCCACAGAGAAGGGGAAGGTTCAGTGACGCCAGACAGGCCAGTGACTGATGCAAATAAACAAGGAGGGGGTCTTGGTTGGAACCACAGACCAAACCCGTTGAAGAGAAGCATCAAGCATCCCTTCCTTCATGGGACTGTAATACAGAGCTATGTTTCAAGTTGACTTGGGAAGAGAGTCTCAGACACAACACAAAAGTGTCTCAGAATGATCTTCCGTGACCTCTTGTTAAATGGAAACCAAGACATTATAAAACATCTGGTGTTTGGAAACAGGACAAGCATCTTGTTGGCAAATCAGAAAACAGATCGTTTGGCCTATTAAAGTAATTCTTTCTCCAAATGGAGTAACAGTTGTAAATGAAAACAGACGCTTCAGTACGGAGGGCATGTCTCCTAAGGGTCTGTACCCCTCATAGGACAACATCTAAAAGGGACCAAAAATTCTATATCGAGAGACTGGGTGGTGGTTAGAATGTCCAAGTCTCTGGAAAGACTGTAGTCCTGCAGATCAGTTGGGACATGATAGCACTTAGACCAAAGCTAAGTTCACATGGACAGATACTTGGGGTAGCCCTTCTGGGAGCCAGATCCAGTGGTGTGTGTAATACTGGATTCTAGCATGGGAATTTGTTAATGCCTCGGCCTATTTTTTTCTCATCTACCAAATGGGAAGACTCCTATTACATTGGTACCCAGGAAGGGGCGGGGGGGGGGGTGGGGGGATAATAGCAAATGGGTGCAGCCTGCTAGTGCAGAACTGAAGAGGGGGATGGAGTGGTTGGTGGTCTCCCGGCCTCTCCTGCATGCTCTTCTGCATACAGGATTGGTTTATGGCACTCGGAGCCGCCAGCAAGCCTGAACCGGGTAGCGGCTGAGGCTGGGAGCCCGATCCGCACCAGCCTGACATCTACAAAGGCAAAATCATCTGCAAAGTCAAAACCACTCAGGGCAACCCTAAGGTGCCCACAGGAGTGTCTGGGATGGGTAATGACTCCAAACTCACATTCAAGCTTGTTCACATGACAAATAGTCTGAAAGGATGATGAAGAGAAATGAGGACAGGCGGTATCCCCTCCGTGCACATTCCAGTTAATTTCCCAGAAGCAAACACAAGTAATGCCGGTGCCAAGTGCAGAGTTGTCTAAGGTGACAAATGAAGAGGTAGTGGGGTTCTGTGGCTTTGGAGGGGTGGGGGTGGGGGTGGGGGTTAGGCATGTGGAGTTTCGTTTCTCTGGTGTTTGCTGTAAGTGAGCAAGAATGAGAGAAAGCTACCAGGGCAGGAAACCTCCCCTCCCTCCCAGAAAAGATGAGGTCTGACATGTGAAAGGTGTTTAGTATGCTAACAAAATGCTGCATAATGTGGCTTTAGAGCCTTGACTGAATTGATAAAGGATATCTGAGGCCTCCCGCTGTGCTGAGGGCCCCCTGCTATGCGCAGCAAATGCAGCTGATGAGGCTGGGGGAGTGGATTGGCAAAGTGGGTTCAGTGCTGCCAAGGTCTCAGAGCCCTAGAAACTGATGCAGTTTGATCCTCAGATCCTGGCTCGGGGATCTGAGTAAATCTTTGCCTTCTTTTCCTGGACCTTGAAAAAAGAGAGGTCCTAGTCGATGAATCACTTTGCAAAGGTGATTTGCAGAGGCCAAATACTGAATATACACCAAAGCTGAGGTGTTAGTACAGCAAACATCTTTTAAGGCTCAAACACAAAGATGGGCATGAGGGACTGAGGGATGCTAGACAAGTCACTGGTAAACGAGTGTTTGGGGGAGGACGGCCAGGCTGCCATGTTTCCCGGCCCCGAGCAATGGGTGGCCTCACAAGATCTCCAGGAGGGTCCTGACGGTGGGACAACTCTAGGTCTGGAGCAGACACTGAGTTTATGTTAAGTCTGTGCTTACTTCAGACATACAAACAATGTAATCCCACAAGGCTATCATGCGAAGGACGAAAACTGGAGGTGAAGCAGGGAAGGGTGGGTGGAGGGTTCACGCTCTGTCAGCCCTCCCCAGGGAGCAGGTGTCCAGTCCTCGTGACTAACTGATGCTGCATAGGTTTCATTTAACAACTGCCCTCCAACTACTACTAAAAACAGTTCTCGTGCTCGCTTCGGCAGCACATATACTAAAAACAGTTCTCGATGTTTCCCTGTATGTTTACAATGAAATTCAACTAGAACCAAAAGGAAGTTACTTTCTCTGAAGTACAAGTCATTTCATATGCTTACTCTCATCCATCCCCCATCACCAATTCAACAAGTATTTACTGAAATCCTAAAAGCATATCACTCCACAGAAATGTGAGAGACACCGAAGATATATAATCAGTGACCTAGAACATGGTATTTTGAATTTTGTTTACATCATGATCTATTCTCACATTAATAGACAGGTTTCCCTTTTTATGGCCAGGGAAACCAACTGAGGCCAGTACACTTTCTTTCCAAGTCTTCATCCCTGACAGTACCAATCCAGACCTTTCTTTTTTTCCCCTTTTCCCTCCCTTCCTTCCTCCCTCCCTTTCTCTCTTGTAATTACAGGTTGAGTTTATTCAACTGCAGAAATGAGACTGAATAAAACTTTATAAACCTTCAACTTGAAATTATTTCTCAAAGGAAAGGGTCCTCACAAGGGCTGGGAAAACCATTTATGGGATTATCCAATGAGGTTTCCAAATTTCAGGAGTTGAGATGGATAGGATTATACCTACTATTTAAACTCCTAAAATCAGTCTATGAATGGTCCTCCTGAAGTAAATCACAGCGTGGGCATCACCTTCAGGCAGAGGGGAAGAAGAATGCAAGGACTGGTCCCGAATCTCACTCATTATAGAACAAATGGGCCGACTTAACCTTTTTCCTCCCACACAATAGTGACTTAGATTTTGCATGATTTTACTGATTAAAAAAAAAAAAAAAGACCATGTACCTTTGCTTCATCCTCATGGCAACTCCGCAGGTGTTCTTCCTATGAAGTAGATGTGGGTAGGCTCAACTAGAGGATCATTATTCATTATTGGCTACAGTGTTCTAAACTTTACAAAAAACTCACACACCTACCATTCTGAGTCTCATATCCTTGTGACGTGGAGAAGACATATAGCTAGAAGTGACGGTTTATAGCACGTGAAGGTTCGGATAGCTTGTGAGGGGAGCAGCTGGGCCTTGGCAGGGGCCTGAACAAGCAGGGGGCACCCAGCACCATCATCACGTTGTTCAGGGGCAGAGCGGAGTCGGGTGATGGTAGTGAGGGGTGGCCCCTGGCTGGGTCATTCATGGGCGCGGATGACAGGGCCAGGCTTTGGCCATTCCAGACATAGAAGCTGCTCTAATTTCATCCTCTTGGAGCATAACGGAAGGAGGGAAAGGATCTTAGGAGTAGAGTAAACATTTGCACGGGATGGTGGGTGGCAATGCCAAGCTTTAGGAGCTCTCCTAAGTAGGGTTGCCAGATAAAATATGGGATTCCCCAATGTCCGTGCAATAGTGGGGGCATACTTCCACTAAAAAATTATTTGTTGATTCTCTGAAATGCAAATTTTCCGGGGTATCCTGTATTTTTATTGGTTAAATAGGACAGCCAGCTCCTAACAGAAGGTAGCTCAATCTTCCACCCTTTGCTGTCATTACTGTAAAACATCTGTGTGATGGTGGCAATGATCTACTAGTAGCAACTGTGACTGGAGACCCTAACCAAGGGAACTTCCTATTCTCTCGGACTTGAGCAGCCCGAAGTCAGGATTGGAGCAAATGGAAGCATTTTCCCAGCTTCTGAATTTGAAAGATCATGGACTACACAATTGTTAGCAAAGGCTGGTTTGGGCAAAGAACTAACAGTGCGGTCCAGACTATCCCTCGGTCATGTGCATCTTCCCAAGATGTCACTGGACTGAGAGTCCCACACCCAGCCCTGGCACTGTGTTACCCCAGGCCCATTCATCCAGTGGAAGGGTCACTTACTTGTAGGGGATGTGTTTGCTGCCGTTGACAAGAGCCAGGATGACATTGCCCAGAGCGGACAGTGAGAGGCATAGCCCTGAGCCTCCTTCCCGATTTTTGCTAAGAGCTTTCACACAGCTGCCGAGGTCAATGAGGTGCAGGCGGCTACGGCCTCCAGACACTGACACAGAGAAGACAAGAGAAGAGAGAGGTGGTTAAGTTCTGGCAAATGCTCGTCTGTCCTTCAGACAGCTCCTTGGGAAGTCTGAGGGAAAACCAAAAGGGGAAGGAAAAGGTTGACATTCATGACTTAGTAGGAAACCCCAACAAAATCATGCTAGGATGTGAATAGCATGGTCGTCTTGATTTCTGTCCACCACACATCACCGACCTAAAACCTACTGACATTCATCCTATAAACAAATGAGTAATTCCCATAGGTTGAATTGGAGGAGATTTCAGAGAAGGTAAATGTCCAATAGGAGGATAAAGTTTGCACCTACGTGACCTTTGGATAGAATTGTGAAACTGATGGAGTTGCGTCTGAATAGCCCAGGAGTGATTATGCGCTTTGGGTGACCATCACAGAGCCCCTGACTGAAAGCTCAGCCAGCAATCAGGTTGATACCCCAAGGTAAAATCAGGAAGAAGTAACAACCAGGTGCAGATATAGGGAAAAACCCAAGTATTTGCTGAGTATCTACCAAGTGCCGGGTGCTGCACAAACACCATTCTCATTCAGTTCCCGCAGTAAAAATAAGCTGAATACTCTTGTTCTTTTTTAAAATATGGATGAGAAAACAGAAGTTCAGAAAAGTTAAGCAACTTGCTCATGAGTACTTCTGCTTCTGGCCTAGATGAAGTCACAGGGATGAGGTCGATGCTCTTATCTAAAAACAAAATGTATAAAGTGACTGTTTCTAAGACACTAGACATCAGGCAGTAAAAACGACAGTGATCCCTGGGAAGTAGGAAACAAAGAAGGTCATCACTGCTTGTGTCCCAGCTTACTGCCTTGAGAGGGTTTCCAGGCTGCGCCTCAGGGATGGGGAGCTCAGGGGGAACGCAGCAGACTGTCAGAATTGAGGGGAGAGAGTGGAGAGTCCGGGGAGACCAAGGTGGCAACGGATGGCAGGACAGAGTACTTCAGAGAAGAGAACTTGGGATTTGCAGAGATCCCCTCAAATATTCAACTGAGTACTGGTCAGCACAGGCATGCAAGGGAACCACACAGCTGGGGAGTTAGCCACCTGGAGTTTAGAAGTGACAGCACACAGCACTCACACAAGGCCAGGAATAATGCCTGTTTCCAACAGCGAGACTAGAAACCTCAAGATTCAGATTCACAGGGCATTGGGTGGGGACACAGAAGGGTCTTGCTTCTGTAGTAGGGAACACTTTGCCCTAGATGAACATAGACCAGGTCCCACCTACCAAATCTTAAAAGCAAGACCAGAAAGGATCCAACTGTTTACAAATAACTGTATCCCAAAACAATGCTTAATATTTACAAAATACAAAGATGTCCAGCATCCATCAAAAATAAGAAGGCATTCAAAGAAGAAAAGGAGACTCATAATGAAAAAATAATTGAAACCAAGCAGAACTGACTGATATTAGATATTGACAGTGAAGGACATTAAAATAGTTATGGCAGTATTTCAGGGGTGCCTGGGTGGCTCAGTTAGTTAAGTGTCTGACTCTTGAGTTTGGCTCAAGTTATGATCTCAGGGTTAAGCCCTGCATCAGGCTCCACAGTGGGTGTGGAGCCTGCTTGGGATTCTCTCTCTCTTCCTCTCCTTCTGCCCCAGCACCCCCCTGCACACGCATTTCCCCCTCTCTCAAAAAACAAAAACAAAAACGAAAAACCCAGTTATGGCAGTATTTCAAATGTTTAAAGAGTTAAGTAGAACATGGGATAATTAAAAAACTGCATCTGTACAGAGCTGAAAACTATGAGTTGAAAAATATACTGGATCAATGGCAGATTACACATTACAGAGGGAAAGCCTTATAAATTTGAAGATAAAGTCATTGAAACTGTCCAAAATGAAACAGAGAGAAAATTTAACAATAAAAACAAAAACATAAAAAAAAAAAAAAGAGCTATAGGACAATTTCAAGTGACTTATTATGTGTGTAATTGGAGTCCTTGAAGGAGAAGACACAGAGGGCAGTAGAGACAAAATATTTTAAGACATAACAACCAAGACCTTCCCAAATTTGATAAAAACTATAAACCCACAGATCCAAAAAGCTCCATGAGCCCCAAGCCCAAGAAACATGAAGAAAACTATGCTAAGGCACATCATAATCAAACTGCTTAACACTGGTAATAATGAGAAGAATCTCAAAAACAGCCAGAGGAGGAAAACAGGTTCCATATAAAGGACTAAAGATAAGGATTTGGCAGGTTTCTTGTTGGAATTAATACAAGTGAGAAGACTGTGAAGCAACATTTCTAAAGTACTGAAAACTGTCAACCTAGAATAATATATCCAACAAAAGTATCATTCTAAGGCAAAAGGGAAATAAAGACTCTTTCAGACTTAAAAAAGCTGAAAGAATTCACCAAAGCAAACCCACAGAGGATATACACAAAGGAATGAAGAATTCTGGAAATGATAACTATGCCAATAAATGTACACTTTCCCCCTTATTATTTAAATCTCTTTGAAAGATAATTGGCTGCTAAAGCGAAACTAAGGACATTGTCATATATGGGTTATAACATATGCAAAATCTGAAAGTTCGATGACAATAGCACAAAGGTTAGAAGTGAGGAAATGGAGGTGCTCCACTGTAGGGTTCTTACTCCATTCATGAAGTGCTATAATATCACTTGACAGCAGACTGTGATAACTTTTTTTTTTTTTAAAGATTTTATTTATTCATTTGAGAGAGAGAGAGAGACAGAGAGAGCACAAGCAGGGGGAGAGGCAGAGGGAGGGGAAGAGGCAGACTCCCCGCTGAGCTGGGAGCTTGATGTGGGGCTCGATCCCAGGACCCTGAGGTCATGACCTGAGCCAAAGGCAGATGCTGAACCAACTGAGCCACCCCAGAGCCCCCAGACCGTAATAACTTAAAGGTGTGTATTATAAACCCTAAAGCAATCAGTAAATAGTGAAGAGTTATAGCTATTAAGCCAACAAAGGATATAAAGTGAAATTCTTAAAAATATTCAGTAAATCCAAAAAAGGCAGATAAAAAAAGCAAAGGAAAAGAAAGAACAGATAAGTTGAATAGAAAACCTATGGAAAAATAAGAATTTGGACCAAACCATGTCAATAATTACATGAAATGTAAATAGTCTGAATACTCTTATTTGAAAGGTAGAAATGGTCAGACTGGGTAAAAGAGCGAACCCTTACTATTGGCTGCCTATGAGAAATGTACTTCAAATATAAAGAAAAAATCCACTAAAAGTGTAAGAGTGGGAAAGGCTGTACCATGCAAACAGTGGCCATAAGAGAGCTGAACTGGTTATATCAATATTAAACAAAAGAAACTGAAGACAAAAAATGTGAATAGAAGCAAATACGAACATTTCATAAAGGGGATGATTCATCAGAGGTCCTAACAATCAAAAATATTTATGCATACTTGAAGCAAAACCTGATAGAACTCCAAGAACAAGCGAGTCCATAATTATAGTTGTAGGTTTCAAATAACCCTTTCTCAAGAATTGATATAACACGTAGACAGAAAACCAGTAAAGATGTAGAAGATTTGGAAAACACAGTCAACCAACTTGTTCTACTTGACATTTAAAGAACACTCAACCCAACAACAGCAAAATACACATTCTTTTGCAATACACACAAAACTTGCCCAAGGCAGACCATATTCTGGTCCATAAACCAAGTCTAAATAAATTTTAAAGGATTCACATCAAAGTACGTTCTCTGACACAGTGGAATTAAATTAGAAGTCCTTATGGAAAGATATCTGGAAAATTCCCAAGTATTTTGAAACTTAACAATACAGCTCCAAATAACCTATGGTCAAATAGGAAATCAAAATGGAAATTAGAAAGCATTTTTAAGTGAATGAAGATTTGTGAGATCACTGAAGAAGTATGGAGGAGGAAATTTATTGCATTAAATGCCTCGATTAGAAAACAGGTCTCGGGGCACCTGAGTGGCTCAGCCATTAAGCGTCTGCCTTCAGCTCAGGTCATGATCCCAGGGTCCTGGGATCGAGCCCCACATCTGGCTCCCTGCTCTGCGGGAAGCCTGCTTCTCCCTCTCCCACTCCCCTTGCTTGTGTTCCCTCTCTCAATCAAATAAATAAATAAAATCTTTAAAAAAAAGAAAACAGGTCTCACAACAATGATCTCAACTTCCACCTTAAGACATAAGAAAAAAAATGAGCAAATTAAAGATTAAATAGCAGAAAGGAAAGAATGAACATACAAGCAGAAATCAATGGAATAGAAAAGTAAAAACAATAGAGAAAATCCATGAAGCCAAGAGCTGGTTCTTCAATAAATCTCTAGAATGGCTGATCAGGAAAGAAGGCGAGAAGACACAAATTACTAATGTCAGGAATGTGAGAGATGGCCTTGCTACCGTTTCTATGGATATAAAAGATAATAAGGAAACATCACACCAGTCAATTAGACAACTTGGAAGAATGGACAAATGTCTTGAAAGATGCCAAGTCCCAAAGCTCCTTCAAGGAGTAACAGGTAAGATGAATAGATTTTTGTCCATTAAAGAAATAGGATCTGTAGTTAACAACAGTTAACAAGCTTTTCACAGAGGAAATTCCAGGGTCACATGACTGCACTGGTGAATTCAACCAAATACTTAAGAAATGATAAAGTATAAGAATGGAAAAGGCTATATCAATTCTACACAAATTCTTCCTGAAAATTAAATAGGAGAGCATATTTCCAACTCATTCTATGAGGCCAGGATTACCCTGATACCAAAAACAGATCAAGATATTACACAGACAAAAAAACCAAAGACCAATATCCCTCATGAACATGGATGCAAAATTTCTAAACAAATTAGAGAACCACATTAGGAAATTGTATCTAGGAGCATATAAAAAGGACTTTACACCACGAATAAGTGGGATTTATCCCAGAAATGCAAGATTGGTTAAAAAAAAAACACCAATATAATTTACCATATTAACAAACTAAAAACAAAAACAAAAACTATAGGATTC